CAGGACGTAGGCACAGGGACCAGCACCCCCACCCCGCTGACGCGCAGCGTACCACTCACGAAGCTGCTGAGGGGGCGGGGTCTCACGAGTGCGCTGCTGCTGCTGGCGCTGACCACCACCGAAGCCGCCCCGCTGCGCAGAGCCACCCCGACCAGCTCCATCGCCGCCGCCGCCACCTCCGCCACCTCCGCCACCGCCGCCACCGCCGCCTCGTCCGCCTCCTCCGCTCCCACCGCCACCGCCGCCGCTGCCTCCGCCTCCACCGCCGCCACCGAAGCCCCCATCCCCACCACCACTCCCACCGCCACCCCCACCCCCTCCGCCGCCTCCACCGCCACCTCCACCGCCCCCTCCAGCTCCTCCAGCGCCCTTGCCCCCCTTGCCCTTGCCGGTGCGGCGTCTCCCGCCAGGGGCAGACGCAGCGCCGACCGACTCGGTGCAAACGAAGTCGACGGCAGTAGCAGAGGCAACAGAGGGCAAAAGGGGGGAGGGGGAGCACCCCTCAAAGAAGGGGGTACGAGGGTCACCACGAGAGGCTCCTACAGCGACTATACTTTTCTCAGCTGCCAGGAGGCGCTCCTCGAGGAGGTCAACGGTGAGTGTGGTGGGGCAAACAGAGAGGAAGTGGTCCCTGACCGAGCGAAGGGAGTCAGGGAGCCGGGTGACTAGGTAGTAGAGGGTGATGTACATGGGGGTGGGGTTCTTGGCGCAGAACTCAGTAGGAAGTGCAGCGCGGTAGCGGGTGTCACTAGTGCGAAGGTGCGTAATGAGGTCAGCGACTGTGGGAAAGGCGGCGAGGTCAGGGAACAGGTACGGTAGCATGAGGCGGCTAAGGGCAGCAGTGGCAGGTGAAGAGTAGCGTGCAACTACAGCGTCGTACAAGGTCTTAGCACTCTTGTACTGACTAAAGTGCGCGCGCTCAGTGGACGGCAGGTGACTACGCACAGCAAGACGGGCAGCAGCATCGCGTGTGGCCCACTGTGAGCGAACAGTGCTGTCAGCATCGGCAGTAGGGGCAGGAGAGGCGCCAGACGTGAGATCGAACAGTGAGAGACCGTCTTTCCTATCGCACTGCAGGAAAAGCTGCAGATCATCGACCCAGACCTCAAAGTCGACAGCCCGACCCTCAGCATCAAAGGTGAGAACGCTAGGGGTAGCCATGACAGCAGCAGCAGCAGGTTAGCAACAGCAGCAGCAGTAGCAGTAGTAGAGGCGCGGCTCGGCGGTGCTCTTACCAGGGCAGGTGGGCAGAGGCCGAGGCGCGCCGGCAGGGACGGGGCCGCGACAGGGCGGCAGAGGAGTGCCGCTCCTCTCTGCAGGGCAGGGCCGGGACTGCGGCGGCGGCTCCTGCTGTCGGCAGCGGCGGCGGGTGCGGCTGTCACGGCAGCGGCGGCGGCTGCTGCTGCTGTCGGCGGCTGCGGCAGCTGCGGCCCCGGCAGTGGCGGCGGCGGCTGCTGCTGCCGGCGGCTACGGCGGCTGCTGTTGTCGGCGGCAGCGGTGGTTGCGGCTGTCACGGCAGCGGCGGCGGCGGCTCCCGCTGCAGGGGCGGTGACGGCTGGTGCTGCAGGGGCGGCGACGGCGGGGCGGCAGGGCCGTGAGGGAGCCGAGAAGGGGCCGCGGAGGAGCCGAGAAGGGGCTGCTAAGGGCGGCGAAGGGGCCACGAAGGGCCGTGAAGGGGCCGCGAAGGGCGGCGACGGGGCCGAGAAGGGGCCGTGAGGGGCCGCGAAGGGTGGCGACGGGGCCGAGAAGGGCCGCGAGGGGCCGCGAAGGGCGGCGACGGGGCCTAGAAGGGGCCACGAAGGGCGGCGACGGGGCCGAGAAGGGCTGCGACGGGGCCGCGAAGGGCGGCGGCGGGGCCTAGAAGGGGCCGCGAGTGGCCACGAAGGGGCCGCGAGTGGCCACGAAGGGGCCACGAGGGGCCGTAAGGGGCCACGAAGGGCCGTGAGTAGGGCCGCGGAGGGGCCGCGAGGGAGCCGCGAAGGGGCCGCGAGGGGCCGTGAGAGGGGCCGCTAGGGGGCCGTAAGAGAGCGCGACGGGCCGCTAAGGGCAGGGGACGCGACGGGAGGGCAGGCACATGGGGCGCGACTCGGGCAGGAGCGAAGCGCGCTCCGGGCAGGAAAAAAAAAAATTCGATCGTGGTGGGCCCTAGGAAACGTTCCCACTAGGGAACCTGCTCTGTACCATGTTAAAGAACGAAGAATGATTGACTAAGGAAATGAGTGTGATACAAATGTGAAACCCTAGAATTGTGTACCCCTTAGAATCTAACCCACTGCAGCCTACACAGGCTAGATCATATAAGTCTGACATCTACCATATCATTATCCATGTGTTATTTCATTAACAATGCATGTCTGTGGTTTTTAGAAATGAGAATCAGTTCTATCATTTCCCAAAGGTTCATTGAGTTACACTCGAACGGGTACGCTCACTTGAACTGGATTTGGTAGGTTGATCTCGTTTGTAGACTTCACAGATTGTGTTGTTTCACGTGGTAGTTGATTATTCAAAACCTAAGCTATTGACCTCCCCCCCATGCTAGGCAGGGGATGGCGGTAGCTTAGTTTTTGGGTTGTTAACTGTCACGCATTTTATCATGTGCATGTGCATCATTCATGACATATCACATGCATTATATAGCATCATTCTATGCATTATGCATTGTATAGCATTATTTATGCATTACGCATGCATCTCTTTATCATTACACAACATCATATAACAGTAACACATAATGCGAACAGTACAGCAAATCTACACTAAACAATTGAAAAAAAATCATGGTTTAATGCACTATGAACAGTACTGTATTCAAAACTGCTCAACATGCATACAGTATGGGAAGGGTATTACTTTAGTTGACAATTTTTATTTTCATGATTTTATTAAAAAAATATAAATATGAAAATAAAATTTGGCAAAATCGATCGTAAAGGGTTGCTTCGCAACCCAAAGAAAAAAAGAGGCGCCTCGCCTAAAAAATTGCCTTCATTTTTTGAGACACCTGAAAAAGGTGGTTTTGCGACGTCCTGGAAACCGACCTTCTTTCACGTCAGGGCGGAGGAGTAGGAAGGCAAGGACACTCGATCGATGGGTCGTTTTCACGGGTAGGAGCAGAAGCAGGAAAAGGGCTTACAGAGCAGGAAGGAGACGAGAGGTGTTGCACGCTCCATGCCGGGCGCTGAAGAGATCTTGAGAATGAAGACGATTCACAGAGCAGGGCAGACGAGGTACTTCTCTCCTGCTCCAGAGCAGGGAGGAGGTCTTGAAATGAAAACCCGGCGAACGTGAAAGGTTTTGAGAACCCCGTAGAGGAACGGCGAACTTAGCGATTTGAAATGAGAATCCGGTGCTCATGACAGGCAATATGATACCGCTGCTCCGTCCGTCCAGCCCGAGAGGCGATCAGCCTGACGGTTGATGATGGGAGGTGTGAGCACTACTAACATGATCATCGCTCATGGACGTGCGCGCCTCGGAGTTGCTTGCTTCGGTACTAGTTTGGGACCGCCCTTCGTCTAAGTTTGTTTGGGGTAGCGCCGCCGCTGCTGCTACGCGACGAGAGCAGAAACGGAAGGGGTGCCGGAGCTGACGAGGAAGGGGCGCCATTCCGCGGTGGCGCCCCTTAGTAAAAAATCATCAGCCAAGGATTCCCCTCCCCTCCCTCTCCGCTCCGAGGCCAGGCCACGCCAGGGCTTCGATTCGAATCGAGGCGAGGGCCTGGACGGCGCGACCTGCGGCATGTGAGGCACAAGGGGTGCCTCTCTTCGGCGTGTGCGGCGAGGCACAAGGGGTGCCGTGGTGTGCCGCACCACTCGGTAAAGCGGACCCTCCCACCCCAGCCTGGATGCAAAATGGCACAAAAAAGTGCAGAACTGTACGACGGTGAAGAGTCCCTCGACTCGATCCACCTGAGTCCCCCAACCCTTCAGCGCCTGTGAGGGCGACGTCAGGTTTCACTCTTCCGTACGCTCCCTGCGGTCAACTTCGTTTCGTCACGGTGCGAAGCGGTGAAGTTTGTAAACCACTTTCCACCTTGTCGAACCGCCCTGAGCCACGATACGAACTGTTCTCTCACGCGGCAGGGACTGCATTCGCAGCGAGGGGTTGACATTTGCAGAATTCACGAAATATGGTTTGTAACTTATGCATGTGCTGTGCCCTGATACATGATGCTGTGCCCTGATACATGTGCTGTGCCCTGATACATGTGCTGTGCCCTGATACATGTGCTTTGCCCTGATACATGATGCTGTGCCCTGATACATGTGCTGTGCCCTGATACATGTGCTGTGCCCTGATACATGTGCTGTGCCCTGATACATGTGCTGTGCCGTTATACATGTTCTGTGCTGTGCTGTGCCCTGTTACATGAGCTGAGCCTTGATACATGTGCTGTGCCCCGAAACATGTTCTGTTCTGTGCCCTAATACATGTGCTGTGCCCTGATACATGTGCTGTGCCCTGATATATGTGATGTGCCCTGATACATGTGCTGTGCCCTGATACATGTGCTGTGCCCTTATACATGTGCTGTACCCTTATACATGTGCTGTGCTGTGCCCTGTGACATGAGCTGAGCCTTGATACATGTTCTGTGCCCTGATACATGTGCTGTGCCCTTATACATGTGCTGTGCCCTTATACATGTGCTGTGCTGTGCCCTGTGACATGAGCTGAGCCTTGATACATGTTCTGTGCCCTGATACATGTGCCATCCATCCAGCATGAGCACTTGCACCCAGTCTCAAAGTGAGCCAGCCCAAAAACACCAAAAGATAGAAATACAGACAGACAAAAAGAGGGAAAAGAGGCCAGCCAACTACTAACCCTTCACTTTCTTGGACTTCCCATAGAGAGCATTGGCGTGGCGAGACAAAAGAGGGAAGGAAAGCCAACCAACAACTATCCTTTCACTTTATTGGACTGCCCATAGAGCGCATTCACGTTGTTCGCGTGCCCATCCTGCGTGTAGTCTCCCAACGCCTTGAATCCATCAACTACTTCACCTTCACTTTCTTGAACTGCCCACAGAGCGCATTCTCGTTGTTTGCGTGCCCAACCTGCGTGTAGTCCCCCAAAGCCTTGAACACGCCTTCAGTCTGTTCACGTAGCTTAGCTAGAGACTTGGGTCCGTCAGTATATGTAAACACGAAGCTGTAACGCTTGCGGCGGCCTGTTTTGTTACTAGTGATGTTGGTCCACTGTGCAGTGATGTCCTGGGATAATCCAGTGCAGGATGTGGCGACGCGTATGGTCAACTCTTTTCCTCCCGAATTGATGTTTAAGACGGAAATAACGCTTTCGGCATAGTATGTTGTTGCTGAGAACCTGCAAGCAAGGGGGGGGAGGGGGAAGCGGGGGACGGAACAGGGGGAAGATGCTTAAGAAAAAAGTATGAGGGTCCTAGCTAGGCGGGGACCTCGGATGGCAACTTGGGTGCTGTTCTGGGCCCCAGGGGCCCCAGACTCTTAAGCTACGGACCATGTCGGAAGGTGACGCAGGTCAGCTGGTCCGAGCCTCTTTTAATCAAAATGTTGGATTTGTATTCGTCGTTGCGTAGAATCAGTAAGGAATAGAAGATTCCTTACAGTACCCCACCCCTCCTCCCCTCCCCCCCCCTCCCCCTCTCCTCCACCCTTTAGTAATAATATGGTCAACATCAGGTACGCGTCGGCGAGAGAGAAAATCGTGTAGTATCGAGTGCCCCTGAAGCGAGTTAGGCAGGTGTGGCCCATGTGTCATCCTCAGTCCAATCAAGCCACCGAGGTAACAAGTTGACGTGGCGTTTGGTCGTCATCAGTCGTACGTGAGGGGAAAAGAGGGAAGATATAAGAGGGAAGGGAGGCCAGCCAACTACTACTATCCCTTCACTTTCTTGGCCTTCCCACAGTTTTGAGGCGCCTCAGAACTAGTCGACGTGGCGTTCAGTCGTGAATCATGATCAGTCGCACGCGACGATAGAAAGACAAAAGAGGGAAGGGATGCCAGCCAATTGCTACCCCTTCACTTTCTTGGCCTTCCCACAGAGTGCACGCGCATAGTTCTCGTGTGCAACCCTCATGTAATAGCCTAACGTATTGAATCCACTCTCAATCGATGCACGAAGCTGAGCTAGAGACCCAGGTCCCAGAATCGATGTGGACAGGAAACTGTAGCGCCTGAGGCGGCCTGTTTTGTCACTTGTGATGTTGGTCCACTCTGTAGGACCGGCTAGTAAGGCTACTCTAGTGCAGGCCTTTCCTTCGGCTAAGGTCGGCGCCTTTCCTCCCGATTTGACTTTACGAACGAGGAAAAACGCCTTGATATAATAAGTTGTTGCTGAGTACCTGGAAGCAAGCAAGGCACGAACAGAAATTTGGATTTACTTTGGAGAATTCTCGGAGATATGTTGAACAGTAGTTGCTGAGTACCTGTAGGCAAGGCACGAACAGACGGGTGACTTTGAGGTGACTTTTGAGTCGAATCAAAGGGCAAGACGAAGACAAAAGTTCTCGGAGTACAATGCTGTTGCTGAGCTGAATGCTTATTTCTAGTTGAAAGAAATCCGCCCTTTCGTAAGCAAAACACAGACGGAAATGGCGTGAGGGGGAGAGGAGGGGGTGGAAGGGGGGAGTGGGGGAGTGGGGGGGGGCTGGAAGTGGGGGGTTGGGGTTTGAGGGGGGAAAGGGGAAAAGTGGGTGGAGATGGGTGCTTCCCGGCACAGCTGTAGTGAGTCGATTTTTTAATCGACTTAAAATTTGATTTTTCTGAGTCGACTCAAAAATTGATTTTTCTGAGTCGACTCAAAAATTGATTTTCCTGAGTCGACTCAAAAATTGATTTTTCTGAGTCGACTCAAAAACTGAGGGGGGAAAGGGGAAAAGTGGGTGGAGATGGGTGCTTCCTGGCACAGCTGAGGGCTCAAATCAGTCCTTAGAAATTTGCATGGAACGATAGCACCAGCAGATGGAGATATTTCCATGGAATAATCGCAGAAGGGCGCACCTCATTATCTTTGTGACATATTTTCCCCGTGCGCCCTTGTCGCCGACCACCTTCCCATTGAGTGTTGTGGGACGCAGTTTTGTAACGTACTTATCTGGCAACGGGATTCGCAGGGATGGGGGCGCATGGGAAAGGAGGACGAGGAAGGACAAGAGCAATTAAGAAGGTAATACTAGCAAAATCATAGCATGTGACGCCCTGGTGGGTTCAGTTTTAAGAATTCTCAATGTCATGACAACTCTCAATGTCATTGTCCTAGTAGCTGACTTTTGAGGCGCCTCAAAAGACTCCTAGTAGCTGACAGATCTACGCGACACTCGGGTGGTACGGCTTTTGAGGCGCCTTAAAGGTCGAATCCTAGTAGCTGATACTTCCACAGGACACTAGGGTGGTACAGCGATATGCAGAGAACAATTGCAACACAGGGTCAGATGCAATACAGGATCGGATGCAACACAGGATCGGATGCAAAAGGTAGCAGGTGCCACTTTTAAGGCGCCTCAGAAACTTCTGGGGCGAACAAGAGGCAAAGAGCGGTGCAGACACTTACAGACTGTTTTCCCTTCCCACACTAAGGGCTCGGCCGCTTGAGCGGCAAACGCCGGGGTAAAAACGCTGCCGAGGCGTGAAGAAGTTGCGAGGAACGGCGATGAAAATGGGGCAGACGAGACGACAGTTAGGAACGCCGCACCTGGCGGGGAGAGCGGCGGGCAAGGGAGAATCATGATAGGCGATCAGGCACGACGGAACCTGGTGTCTTTTGAGTTGACTCAAAGCAATTGGTGACGCGGAACGGCGGGAAGGCTGAGGCAGACGCGCCGGCAGTGAGGAATGCCGCACCTGGCATGGCGGGCGACAGTGCACGAGAGAGCAACATGAGGGGCGCACGAGAGAGCAACATGAGGGGCGCACGAGAGAGCAACATGAGGGGCGCACGAGAGAGCAACATGAGGGGCGCACGAGAGAGCAACATGAGGGGCGCACGAGGGAGCAATTTTGAGTCCACTCAAAAGTCAACGCCGAGCCTGATGGGGAAAAGAGACCGAGGGAGCATCACGCGGGGCGCACGAGGGAGCATCGTGAGGGGCGCACGAGAGAGCAACCATGCGGGGCGACCTGGGGAGCATGATCATCATGACGAGGGGCGACTGGACACGACGAAACCATGTCTAGAGGCCAAAAATCATGTCAAAGCCGCCTGGTTGAATCCTGACGCGGTACAGTCAGTGCAATCGCGACGGAGTACGAGAGAAGCACGCAATCAATGAGTCGCGTTTCATTACCACGGGTAGGGGCAAAAGGCAGCAAAAGGGCACTTATCAGGGCACGTATCAGGGCACTCAATACAACTCATCAATCGATGAGTCGTTTCCACGGGTGCGAGCAAAAGAAGTCTAAGGGCTTACTACAGAGCAGGACGAGGATGAGAGGTGTCGTGCGGCGAACGAGAAAGGCCTCCATGATAGTGATAGAGGAAGGGCGAACGAACGATTTGACATGAAAGTTTGCTGCTCGGGATGCAGGGAATATCATATCACCACTGCTACGTCTTTCCAGCCTGAGAGGGTTGTGGATATGTGATGGGAGGTGTGAGTGCAAGAAACATCACAGCCCAGCTTCGGCAGTTTGGGCCCGTTCGTTGCCAGACTGGATTAGCGAGGCGTTCGGTGACGCTCACGAACTTGTGACCGGGGAAGGAGCGCCGCGGTGGCACACCGTTCCACGTGGATAAGAATCGCGTACTACTACTCTACCTGAATCACGCTATTCCCTCTCCAACGTAGACAATTTTGCGTCAACTGGTAGTGCAGTTGAGGAGTATTAACTTTAGTTTAGAGGCAGCAGATAAACAGGCACTGTAAGCTGATAAGCTGTACTGTACTGTAGTGCATACCGCTGGTGCGCGCGGCAGCTCTAGTTGCGAAGCGTCACCCCGAGGGCGGCGCTACGCCGACGGGAGCTGAAACGAAGGGACGCCACGCCAGAGCAAACGCGAAGGGCCGCCACGCTGGCGATCCTTCTTCAAGCGACCATCATCACATCCGTCTAGACTCTAGTGTACACATGATGCCCGTTTGAATCACCCAAGGTTGCCTTGTGAAGTGTGCTCTTAAGCGATTCTTGCATTTCGCAGGGCTTTCGTCAATTCGCACTTATAAAAAAGGGCTTATAAAAAAATTCGTAACTCACCGTTGACCATTTGACTTGAGTCTCTTCGGCCAAACTTCGGTTTATGTGGTTCGTATTGGTTGAGGTGCTTGTACATGGGGTGCAACTGGCTGGCGCAAAATACACGTGTGCAGAGTTTCCGTCGCGTACAGGGAAAATTCGCGCGCAGGGGTTGGGCATCTTGTGTACAAGTAGAGATGCTGAGCCTGTGAGAGATTCCCTTCTCCTCGGCTCCGGCTCGGAGGCGAAGGCTTCGATTCGAGTCCCTTGACGGCGTCGGCGTGGCGTGACCTGGGCCATGTGATGCGAGGGACAAGCGATGCCAGCCAGCCGCGCAGTCGACCCTCCAAAATGGAGAGACTTGTGCATCTCAAGGACGCAAGGTGCAAAACTGGATGTGGGCATTCTCCTCCGACATAGCACAACTCGTTCAAGTTTAAAGTATAGAGTGCAAATTAGCAGGGCTTAGGAAATACAGTATCAAAGTTTGTAGTTCCCCTGTTTGGCCGCTTTACTGCTAAGCTTTGGCCACTACATGTTATTTCCTTTTCGAAGTTTGTGAGCGAATCTCGCTAGTGTTTGACGAAGCGGGTTGTGTCGTAGGATGTATGTAACCTCTTCGCTGGCGCTTGTGATGTGTGGGGTGAAATTGGTTGTATTGTGTGTGGCCAGACCACGGTGGTTTGAACATCGGTTACCAAACCAAACCCTCAACACAAGCGACAAGACCCTTGTCAGAGCCAGAAGCTGTTGGCTGATTTGAGGGCCCGAACCAGCTGGTGTTGGCTTGGATGAACCACGCCGGACACTCAATTTTCCCTGGCCCCTCCATAACTCGCGCCGTGGTATGGCCAAACCAGCACTAGCTTCCTCTATTGGTTGGAGTTTCCAGGCCTGCCAAAGTTGACCCAAGAAAGACAGGCTGGGCCATTATTCAACGGCCTGCCAGCTGGTGGCTGTCGCCTTGCGCTTTCCTGGGGTTCAGGCCACCAAGTTACCCGATCGCGGCAACATTGAAAAGCTCACAAACTGCTCATCCAGAATACACTTCAGTAACATGGCCGCCACCTTGTTCCGAGTTTTCCGTACAGAAAACTGGTAGCTAAACTTCCTTGTTTTTGCGCAAAGTGTTTTCTTTAGACGAAGACCACATATGTAAGTACGAATCTCGGTTATGAGGTTCTGGTTATTACCAAAAGGTAGGGCATCGGACGTTTAGCCCTGTGAACAGAACTCAAGTTACGCGAACCTGAGGGGATGAGTGCTCAACAATGCACAAGAACCAAAACAAGAGCCTTCTTTGGTTTGGTTTGGTCCCTTCAAGCCATTTTGTGAAAGTACGTTAGGCAGTTGCTCTGAGTAAGCAGAGCGCTAGTCTAGCTCAGTTCGCAGTTAGTTCAGCAGCACGATACGAGTGCATGATCGTAGTGCCGTGGCAATGACGACAGAGCTGCCATTGCTGCTTTTGCTGTCACTGACGATCCGCCATTGCTGTGATTGCTTGTACTGAAGTAGACTGCAATCGCACAGCCAGAGGTGTTGTGATAAGACTCTTAGGTCATCGGGTGATTTACTTGAGCGACGCGGCTTTCGTTGGGGCTGAAGTCCTCCATTACCCTTCTGTCCCCATTAGACGACGTTATCTCGTAATGCTAACATATCAACGAGTAGCCTAGTCATCAAAACCTCCTAATTTGACTTCCTAATGCGACTGCGACCATGGGCCTTCTCTCACTCGGAAGAAAAAGGCCTCCGACGGGGAAAAAGGTCGATGATGACGTGTCAGATACCGATTCGGTATCAGCCCCAAGCCTCGCCACGACAGGCCCCGGTAGTTCCTCTCGCGACTCCTCCCCAGCCAAACCGTCCGCCGCGTCCGGAGACGCCAGCCGGACGGGAGTTAAGGACGTCCCTCGCCGGCCGGGTTCCGCCGCGGCGAAAGAAGCGCCACACACAGTGAACATCCTTAAAAAGACGTACGAGAACGTGCAAGACTTCTACGTCATGGGGAAGGAGTTAGGTCGCGGGCAATACGGCGTGATCCGGCTGTGCACGGAAAAAGCGACGGGGTTGTCGCTGGCGTGTAAGAGTATCAATAAGGCGAAGCTGGCGGGGACGCGCGAGGTGGAGGACGTGCAGAGGGAAGTGAAGGTGATGGAGCTGCTTAAAGGCCATCCTGCCGTGATCGAGCTCCGTGCGACTTACGAAGACCAAAAGGTACGCGAGCCGCGAATTGTAGGCATGCGAGCGTTTACTAGGAGGGCGAGCCGCTTGGTACGCAAGCCGTGATCGAGCTGCGGGCCACGTACGAAGACCAAAAGGTACGACATTAGACACGCGAGCGATTGATGCGTTTGCGTCAAACGAGTACATTTGAAGAGCTGCTTAAAGACCATCCTGCCGTGATCGACCTTCGCACGACGTACGCGAAAGACAGTAATGTACGCGAACGCGAGCGATTATTAGGTCTACGAGCGAGTACGTTTAGGAACTTTCTTAAAGACCGTCCAGCGGTTATCAAGCTCCCTGCAACGTTTCAACTCCAAAAGGGGGGTTTCCGATACTTATCGTTTGAGTGAAGATTGGCAGAAAGGTTAACAAGAGGGCGGTGCCTGTTTGTTGCGTTTGTTTCCCCCTTAGTTTTCTCGACTCAGGCTTTTAAGAACGCTCACAACAAATTAGGTTTCCCTTCTTTTCGCCGCTTCATACCTCTCTCTCTATTTTATATTTTTTCCGCTTTCTCGTTTCTGTGTCTCGTTGTCGTCTCAGCGTGTGCACCTGATAATGGAGCTGTGCGAAGGCGGCGAACTCTTCGAACGAATTAGCAAGCGAAAGCATTACCCGGAGAACGAGGCTGCGGAGGTTTGTCGCACGCTCGTGTCGGTCGTCGCGCACTGCCAGTCGCACGGACTCATGCATCGCGATCTCAAGCCCGAAAACATTCTGCTCGTCAGCCAATCGTCGCACACGCGAGTCAAAGTCGTCGACTACGGCCTCGCGGTTTTCGTCAAACCAGGTGAGTGGAGTTTCGCGAAACATTACTAAGGCCGATCGTCTGGCAAACGTCGCGGACGTGAGTCAGCGTCGTCACTCTCAAACTCTCATTCTGACGGTTGAGTGTATCGAGCACACGTCGCCAGTCTCGAATTGGCCCCTTCCCACCGATTCCCTACGCTTTCCACAGCATTCCACCGATTTTTACCAATTTCCACCATTTCCCACCCTCCTTCACCGCTCTCCACCCCTGGTGACAGGCGCGAAGCTGACGACAATGGCGGGCAGCGCGTACTACATAGCGCCAGAGGTGCTGAACAACTGCTACGGGCTGGAGGCGGACATGTGGAGCGTGGGGGTCATCCTGCTGTGCGGCCTGCCGTCTTCACCTCCTTCTCACCCCTTTCCACCACGTTCCACCACTTCCTACCCTCCTTAACCACTCTCCACTCCCCGTAACCCATCTTAACAGGTGCCAAGTTAACCACAATGGCGGGCAGCGCGTATTACATAGCGCCTGAGGTGCTGAACAACTGCTACGGGCTGGAGGCGGACATGTGGAGCGTGGGGGTCATCCTCTACATCCTGCTGTGCGGCCTGCCGCCGTTCTGGGCGGAGAAGGAGGAGGGCATCTTCGCGGCCATCAAGACGGGCAAGATCGACGTGTTCACGGGCGTGTGGGAGGGCGTGTCGCAGGATGCCAAAGACCTCGTGATTAAGCTGCTGACCAGGGATCCCTCCAAGCGGATCACACCTGAGAAGGCATTGGGTGAGTGGGGGAAGGGGTGGGGAGGGGACTCGGCGCTGGCTGGCTGGATAGGTGTATGGGTGGGAGGGAATGGGAGGGAAATCATTGCCTTTCTGGGCGGAGAAGGAGGAGGAGGGCATCTTCGCGGCCATCAAGACGGGCTAGATCGACGTGTTCACGGGCGTTTGGGAGGGCGTGTTGCAGGATGCAAAGGATTTGGTGATGAAGCTGTTGACCAGGGACCGTTCGAAGCGTATCACTCCTGAAAAGGCTCTGGGTGAGTGGGTGAAAGGGTAGGGGACGGGCAAGATTGACGTGTTCACAGGCGTTGGGGAGGGCGTGTTCACAGGCGTTTGGGAGGGCGTGTTCACAGGCGTTTGGGAGGGCGTGTTCACAGGCGTTTGGGAGGGCGTGTTCACAGGCCTTTGGGAGGGCGTGTTCACAGGCCTTTGGGAGGGCGTGTGGGAGGGCGTGTCGCAGGACGCCAAGTACCTTGTGATTAAGCTCCTTACCCGGGATCCGTCCAAGCGGATCACACCAGACAAGGCATTGGGTGAGTGGAGGGTGGTGGTGGGAGGATGGGTTGTAGGAGATGCGGAATTACTACCTGAAGTGGATGCAGGGCGTGTGGGAGGGTGTGAGGGAGGGAGGGTGTGTGTGTGGGAGGGAAGGCGTGTGGGAGGGAGAGTGTGTGGAAGAGAGGGTGTTTGGGAGAGTGTGTGGGAAGGGGGGCGTGTGGGAGGGCGTTGACTCAAGAAATTCTCTTCCCCCTCTCTACCTGTCCTCCCCATGTCATTGTGCCCTTCCCCCCTGTCCAACCCACCATTGTCTGAAGCAGCTTGCAGGCGCAACTCGCCTCCTTACCTCCACCTCCCTCTCTCAATTTCATCTTTAGGTCCACTAAAGAATACACTCTTTCCTTCCCCCCCCCCCCCTTCTCCTCTTTCTCCCCTTCCCTCCCCCTCCCTTCCCTCCCCCCTCTCCCCCCTCTCCCCCTCTCCTTCTCCTTCCCCGTCCCCTTCCCTTGTCCAGCCCACCGCTGGTGGAAGCAGCACGCGGGGGCTGCTCGTTTCCCCTCCTCCTCCCTCCTCTCTGGGATCCAACTTTGAGTCAACTGAAGATAAAAATCCTGTATTCCCCTCCTCTCCTCTTCCCCTCCTCTACCCCCCCTCCCCTCCCCATCCCCTCTACCGCTCCCCTCTTCCCCTCCTCTACCCCCCCTTCCCCCCTCTCTCCCCCCTGTGCAGCCCACCGTTGGTTGAAGCAGCACGCGGGCGCAACCCGCTTCCCCTCCTCTGCCTCCCTCTCCGGAATCCCCCCCAAGCCCGCCACTGCTGACGTCATGGGCGCGTTCAGGCGCGACAGCAGCGTCAGCAGCAGCACAGGGGGGGGCGCGCGCCCCAGCTCCAGCAGCGGGGCGGGCGCAGGGGGAGGGGGAGGCGGAGGGGGGGCGCACCACCATCATCACGCAGGAGGGGGCGGGGTGGGGGGACTGGCGGGGGTTCTAGCAGGGGGAGACTCGTCCTTGCTTTCCAAAGCGATTCTCTCCCTTAAGAAAGTTGGCAGTGGCAGCGGCGGCGGGGGCGGCGGGGGAGGAGGAGGAGGCGGGGAGGGAGCCCATAGCGATCTGCTAATGCTTCTAGAAGCTCTGAAGAAAAAGGTGGGGGACGGGGGGGTGGCAGGAGCAGCAGGGGGAGCAGGACTCCCCCCTCCTATAGTGCCTCGATCGCGAAGCGTGGGCATGAGTCGTAGTGGGTCGTTATCAGGAGCTGAATCCGATGCTGACGGTGCTGCTGGGAAAGACAGACGGTCGGCGTCTGCCCGGCACGGCTCCGGATTGGTCGGGGCAGACGACGAAACTTCCGAAGCTGCCCTGCAGGCGTTTCTCGCGGCTGCCCGGGAGGTGCTGAGGAAAGATGGGGGGGAGGGAGGGGGGGGAGGTGCGGGAGGGGAGGAACGATTGGCAAAACTTTTAGCTAAGCTCGAAGCAACGGGCGGTGGAGGAGGAGGGAGGGAGGATCGACTGGGGTTACCTAGGGGCGGCAGCACGGGCGGGGGAGGGGCGGCAGGCCGGCCGAAGCTGCCGCCCTCCCGGAGCACAAGAGACGCGTCGGATCATGAGGGGGATGACGACGGGCGGCGGGTCAGAAAAGAAGTCAAGCTTCCGTCGTCTGCTTCTGTGTCTGCTGCTGACGCTGGGTCGAAACTTTTACGGCACCGGTCGGAAAATGTCGGGGCGATTTTGACCAAGGGAGGGAAGCCCGGGCAGCCCGGAAAATCTATGGAGGAGATTTTTGCGTCGCTGGAGAAGGGGAAGGAGAGGCCGGGCAGCAGCAGCACGAATCGAAGAGGGGAGCGGGAGAAAGAAAAGGATCCGAGGGAAAGGGAGAGAGACAGGGACAAGGATAGAGACAGGGATAGGGACAGAGATAGGGACAGGGACAGGGACAGGGACAGGGACAGGGACAGGGACAGAGACAGGGATAGGGATCGGGATAGGGATCGGGACAGGGGAGGCAGGGGCGACAGGGACAGGGATCGAGAGAGGGACAGGGATAGGGATAGAGATAGGGATTATGACAGGTATAGGGACAGAGATAGGGACAGGGACAGGGACAGGGATAGGGATAGGTATAGGGATAGAGACCGGGACAGGGATAGAGATAGGGATAGGTACAAAGACAGGGATCTTGACTGGGATAAAGACAGGGACAGGGACAGAGACCGGGACAGGGATCGGGATCGGGATGGTGTGAGGGACAAGGATAGAGATAGAGAGAGGCTTCGGAGGGAGAGGGACAAACTCGGGAGCACTACAGGGGCGAAGAAAGAGGGCGGCGGGCTGGTACGGCATCGTTCGGCAGATATCGGCAAGCTGGTGTCGGTTGGGAAGGATGATGATAGGCCTGACTTCCTCAAGAGTCCGACGGCCAGATCGAGATCGCGGGGAATCCAACGGTCACCGTCGCCTCCCGCGGGGGGGAGAGATAAAGACCGGGATAGGGATAGGGACAGGGACAGGGATAGAGATAGGGACAGGTTTCGGGACAGGGACAGGGAGAGAGACAGAGACAGGGGAGGGAGGGGAGATAGGGACAGGGATCGTGACAGAGACTGGGATAGGGACAGGGATAGGGACCGGGATAGAGACAGGGATTGGGACAGGGAGAGGGACAGGGATAGAGATAGGGATAGAGATGGTAGGCGATCATCTGTGCGCCGATCCCCTTCTCCTGAAAGCGTTCGAGGGGAGAAGGATAGGGGGAGGGGGGACAGAGACAGGGACAGGGACAGAGATAGGGACAGAGACAGGGGGGATAGAGACAGGGATAGGGATAGGGAGAGGGAGAGGGATGGGAAAGAGAAGGACGGGGAGGACACGAGGAAGAATGGAGAGGAGGAGGAGCCGGTTCGGCCGAAGCGAACGTTGCGGCGCGGGCTTTCGTCTGCTAGTGTGTCTTTCGACCCGGAGGTTGATGGTGGGGAGAAAGGAGGAGGAGAGGCGGGGGAGAAGGAGCGGGAGCGAGTCGGGAGGGAGAGCAGGGAGAGCCGGGAGAGCAGGGAGAGCCGCAGCGGAAGCAGCGCCAAGGGAAGGGACTTGGAGCGATCTCCCTCACCTCCTCCCGCTTCCTCTGCTGCTGCTCCCGGTGCCACCAGCGACGAATCACATGACGAGAAGGAGGGTGCTGGTGAGGATGGTGGTGCGGGAGCAAAGGGGGGAGCAGCGGGGGCGAGGGGCATGTCTCGGGTATCGGATAAGGCTAAGAGTGCCAAGGAACGGTTGGAGGGGAACAGCTTGTTTCGGCACAAGTCGACCAACGTTTCTGCTCTTGTTCCGGTCCGGGACGGCCGCGACGGGCGAGATGGGAGAGACGGGAGGGACGGGAGGGAGGGGAGAGAGGGGAGAGATGGGAGACATGGGAGAGATGGGAGAGATGGGTCGGCAAGAGGTGGTGGGGGAGCAAGGCCTGTTTCTCCTCTATTGGATGAATCTTCTCGCTCCCGTCCGTCTAATCGGGGAGGAATAGGAGCTCCGCCGTCCCCCACAGCCAGTGTGAGCAGCCGAGTGGGCGGCGGCGGCCGGCGTGTTTCGGCTACTAATGGCCTGGTCCGGCGGAAATCGGCAGATGTGGGGAAGCTGTTGGAGGATTTGGGCGGCGACGGGGGGAAGGATGCCGGGCGGGACGGGGCGGAGAGCACGAGCAGCGGCGGGCGGAAATCGGCTGCTTCTGGCGGCTCGTCTGCTTCTCGGAGGCGGCCGAGTCGGGATTTTGATGACCTGGCGCGGACGGGCGGAGTTGTATTTTCTGTGTCGGCGGGCGGCGGACTGAGTCCCCTTAAGGCGCCTAAAATGGTGGCGCCTTGGAAGGGAGATGAGAACGGGGAGGAGGAGGGAGACGGAGGAGTGAGGGAGATGGGTCGGACAGATAGGGATAGGAGTGGAGGGAGGAGTGGGGGGAGGGTGAGTGGCCCGAGCAGTGGTGGGAGAAGAGGAGGGAGGGGATGGGATGATGATTCGGATAGAGAGAGTGACAGGGATAGGGATAGAGACAAGGGCAGGGACAGGGACAGGTATGGTGAGCGTGATTATAGGGAGAGGGACAGGGATGGAGGAGAGCGAGATAGGGAGAGGAACAAAGATTGGGAGAGGGAGAGGGAGAGGGAGAGGGACAGGGAGAGGGACAGGGATAGGGATAGGGAGCGGGAGGGGTTGCCGAGAAACGCATCTCGGTCGTCCGCTGCTGGTGGTGGTGCCCGATCCAAGGGCTCTGGTGGGCTTGCGAGATTCAAATCTGCTGACGTGTCGGCGATGCTCAAGTGATGTTCAAGTGATGTCCAAGATTGGTTGGTGAAAGGTGATTGATGAAATGCCGATGCTTGGTGGGCTCTGAAGATTTTACATTTGCTGATGTGTCTCCGATGCTCAAGGAATGATACGGTGTGGTGACTACAGAAAGGCGATTGGTCAGCTTGCGATGCGAGGATCAAATCTTGTGATGTGTTGACATGACATGTGAGAGAAAGTGCTGCTGCTCACTGGGATGCATGTTTCCATGTGCTCATCCCTTAGACTGATCTCTTGGTGATGTTTGTCTAACATTGTAATTCCGCTCACTCCAGTGGATTTTAGTGCCTGTCAACTAACATTCTCTCCTGCATGTATTTCCTATTTGCATTCAAGTTGTGAGTGCTAAACCTTTCATGCCCTTATGATGCCTTTTCTAAGGGTACATTCCTGCCTTGACACTTGTGTCTCAAATGTACCGGTATTGTGACGCTCAAAAACAGCATAGAACGTGCTATGTCACAAACGCGTGTCGCCCTAATGCGAATGTAACCCTATTTTACATTGGTCAGCGTCATTTGCGCCGGTGTCGCGGACGAGTTGGACGAGGCCCCGTCACCGCCGTGAAATCGCACGCACGATCAATGTCAAGCAATTCCACTGCCCTGCCGCATGCACCTGGACGCTGGACCCCTTGACAGTTTAGCGCGGGAAACAAACCCGCCATCCCTGGGCAGCATCGAAAGGGGTTACCATTTTTTGTGATACACGCAAGGCTGCCCGACGAAACCACCACAGATCTAGAGCCTCCTCTCCAACCTACTTCAAGGATGACTTCGATTCCATCTTCTTGGTAGTCCATTATGTGTTTCTTGTTTCTGGGACCCGCAAGCTCAGTAGCCCTCTCAACGCCATGGCTCGTAAGCGCAAGAGCGTCGCTGAAGCTGCCAACGTGACCCCGCGGGATCTCAATGAGATCCCGTATATTGCTTGGATGCACAAGCAGCTGTCCTCTGGGCGCAAGCCGACCGGCCCGCAGCCAGTGGACACTCCTTCGCGTGGCGACACCTCTTACCAGGCCCCCCGTGACGTCCCGACGCGCGGGCGCCGTAACGCCGACCGTGTGGCTTCTTCGCGCAGTCCCGAGGCTACCACGTACGACGAGGACGAGGACGATGCAGACTACAACGAGGAGGCATACGGCACGGACGACGACGCGGACTCCGGAGAAGAGCCTGACAAGGGCATGTCCGACTCCGACGCGGAGAGCGACGACGACGACGCACCGGAAGAATCGCAGCCCGCAACTCCGCCTGTTCGCCGCGGTCATGGTAAGGCGGCACCGGGGGACAAGAGCGCCACTGTTGGCGGGGGGCCACCTCGACGCGCGCCAAAGACCCGGGAGCCCATGCCGGTGAAGCGCAGTGTGTGGTCGCCCACGGAGAGCACGATTCTCGTGGCCGCCCGCTGGTTCATGAAGGATGAGCTGGAGCCGCTTCTGGGGAAGCAGGGATCCCAGTATTGGGCCCGCCTCGTGCGCCACATCGAGACCGAGAATACCGGATGGGTCCGCGGCGTCAACGCCGTGCAGAAACAGTGGCGCAACCTCGTCCAAATGTACAAGCAGCTGCAGAAGGCGGACAAGGCGTCCGGCAACGGGGTGGTGTGTAAGCCGCCATGGTGGCCGTACATGGTGTTATTTCAGAATAACCGTGTAGTCGCGGCGCTGCACGCCGTCGCCGCCGGTGGTGCCACACACGTGAATGCGCCGTGCGGTTTCGCGGTGCCGTCGACGTCCGCGCCATGCACCTCAACGCCCACGTTCACGGGTGAGCCATTTTCCGTTGCTTTGGGCGTGTTCGCTTTGTTTGTTGGTACGCATAGATGTGCAACATGATTGTCATTTAACCTTGGTGTCATACGGCACAACATCACAGCAAACTCATTCGGGCCTACTGTAACATGTGAACGTGCAGCCCCCCCTCCGGTGACGCCTCCCTCCAAGCGCCCGCGAGTAGCGGAGACGGCTACCATGGCCGCAGCAAAACTTGTCTCCGACACCATCAAGGATTGCCACGCGGATGCGATGGCAAAGCTGGAGGGGCTCGTCCGCGCCTGGATGCAGCAGGACGCCGAGATTGCACGCGCCCGCAACCAGTCGCCGGCCCCTCCGCCACCAACCGTCAACGGAGCCCCCGCGGATGCCGCCACACAGCCCGCAGCGGCCGCCGCCGAAGGCGACGACGGAGTCTGGTTCCGCCGCGGTGATCACGGCGGTGGCGAAGCTACTCCGGACGAGGCCGAGGAAGTGTGGGTTCGCGGCGACGCCGTGTAAGGTAGGAAGTCTCCAACGCTTCACCGAGCCTCTTCCGCCTTTCACGGAGAGTCGCCTGGTTGCACGGCACGGCCGGCTCCCACTTGAATTATGCTGCTGCGCCGCGGGTCCACCAAGGATCCCGGTTCCGTGGCAAGTTTGCCCATCCCTCATTGACACGCCTCACGTCCCCCATCGTCTCACACATGTTGTGCAGGACTACACAACAAGACGCCCCTGCAAGGACGCGCCACAGCGTGCAGTCATTGCGGTCTGCGAAGAGCCTCCACCTGCCTTTGAAGGCGCCGATGCAGCGCTCCACTGCCATGCGCGTCGCGCTCTGGCAGTGGTTGAAGCACTGCTCCCAATCCTCCATTAGGCCTTCGCGGGGTGCATGCAGGGGGGTTAGGCAGAAATCCCGCAGGGGGTAGGCTGCATCACCGACTATTTGATACGGCGCAATGTCGCCGTTTTGCAACCTCTCATGTAACGCACTGTCCATGAACACGCGTTGATCGTGTGCGCTCCCAGGGTATCCGATAAGGAAGTCCCAGATGATGCCGTGTGCATCGCACGTCACCTGCAACTGCACGGCGTATGCGGACTTGCGTGTCCAGTACTCTTGCCTGTGCCCCTCCATCCCCTTTATGTGTACGTGTGTCCCATCAATAGCCCCCACTACCGCAGGTACCCCTTTCACGGCGCGAAACTCCTCGGCCATTTCGTCAAGGTCATCGTGGGTGGGGAAGTGCACCCACTGTTGTTTGAAGACCATGGCGAAATGCATCAGCCACACATCGACGAGCTCGTGGCACAATGTCTTCGACAACCCGAATAGGTGAGAAAGGTCTATGTACAAGGGTCCACTCGCGAGGTACTTGATCGGCACAAGGTTTGCCACCTCGTGGGTAATGTAGTAACGGTCCACGTACGGCTGCATGTAGTGCTTCATGCCCTCGGCCACGTGGGCGAGAATCGCCCTGTTAATTCGGTGAATGTCCCTAAACTCCCCGTCTCCCATTCCCCGCAGGTTCTCGAGCAGCAGCGCGTAACGCCGGCGCCTCAAGCTGCCTCTCCTTGTACGCTCGGCGAACCTGGTGGAGCTGTGAGAGGTCGCGGTAGACGTGTTCTCGTCGTCGAAGACTTGCGACTCCAGCAAGCCGGCTACCCCCTTGGCGACCGCGTCCATGAAGATGCCGTAGTAGAACGAGATCCATGCGACTAGGAGTCGCATGAGGAAGGGAACAGCCCTGGGTTCTGCCATGGCTGATTTGAGTGGGGGCCATGCTGTGCATGCTTTGCGTTTTTATGTTTGTAGTTGTAGTTGTAGATGCATTGTGGCTCTGGTGGTTGGTGGTTTCGCCAACTCGCCCCATCATCGTTTGGAACCCCTGGTTTAACCTGCCTGCCCGGCGCCAAAATGAGAGCGCTCGCTTCAAAAGGTGCGGGTCCAATTGCAAGTCGACAGGTGTACAACACTCTAAGTCGCTCGATGTCGCTGTACATCCTTTTTTTTGTGACGCGTAGATAGGCAAATTTTCAGGCGCGACTCGGGAAACCAGGCATTGAGACACAAGTGTCAAGGCAGGAATGTACCCTAATACTTGACTTGATCAGAGAAGTCACATAAGCTCAGATGATATAAGGCTACAATACACACTATCCCACATATGTACAACATTACACACGATTTGACATGGTTCGGTTTTGACACAGAACCGCCCGAGCTGAGTTTTTTCCGCACTTTTTAGTGTTTTTCCACGTCTATCTCCTCTCTATCACCCAGTCGCTTGAAACAAGAATGTGGGAATCTCAGGGTACATTCCTGAGAGCAGGTGTCACAAACGTTAGTAAAGCTTTCATCCCCTTCCCATCGTCATAACCGTTACTATTGCGTGGCTGTCGTTGCATCTCGGCCGTTGCTCTTCCCGCTTTTTCTCAAAGCAGCTCGCATCGCCTTCGCCCGCGCAACCTTCTCCTCTGCCAAAGCCTTCAGTTCCTCCACCTTCGCTTTAGCGACCTCCACTGCAGTCACACTCTTCCGATATTCCTCCTCTAGGCGTGCTGCTGCGGTTTTTAAATCCTCGATATAAGTCTCCTCAGATTCAATGTCCACCACGGAAACTTCCACATCGAATTCTTCCTGCGAAAACGCTTCCCACGCATCCTCCGCGTTCTCCGCGGCTTCTTCCGCCACCGTTTCCGCCTCCTCCGCTGCGCGCACCGCTTCTGCGCGCTCAAATTTCGTCCGCTCGAGCGCTAGCTGCGCCCCCGCCGTGCGGGCGGCTTCCGCCAACCGCGCTGCTTCCCCGACTGCGGCGGAAGCTTCATCCGCCACCTTCCGCTTGCCTGCCGCTAATGCTCCAGCTTTTTCCGCGACCTCTGACGCGCGCTTCAGGTCCGCGGAGCGTTTTCGCGCCCGCTCCGCTAGTTCCGCGACGTCCGTGGTCATGAGGGCGCGATCGAGCGCCATTTCGTCCGCCTGGCTGCGCACTTTAGAAGCTTCCGCGCTTATTCCCTCCGCGTCCATCCTTTTTCCTTCGAGAACCTTCTTCGCATCTTCGTAATCCGCTAGAGCTTTAGCGGCTTCTGCGTCAGCAGCGGCGGCTTCACGAACCGCGGATACTAACGACTTATTCTCGTGATTTTCGACAACAGTAACAAATTCTCGTGTAGACGCGCCATGAATTTCGCGAGAATTGGCGAATTGTTGTGGAGCCGCAATGTCCCGTGAACCTGTAGTGTGGTCGGGAGAAATTAAGAGGCCGACACAGACGCATACCGTAAACAAGGTATTTCCGACATGAGAGCGTAGATGATTGTGATTGGTCATGGTGATTGAGCGGGATAGCTTCTACTACGGAAGTAGAATGTCGTCGTCAGAAGAGATCGACGACATGAACTAATATAAGCTTATCCGAGGATGTGAGGAGGTGAAAGTGGGTAGAAATTGGCGAGGCGACTCAGATGGCGTTCAGGCGAGTGAAGGGGGACATCTAGGACAGGCTGAACATGTCTTGTCTGTTTGCCTGTGTAATCTCCTGAAAATCGGTTCCTGTCTATGGTGGTGCGCGCATTGACAATCACTGCTGAGCCTATTTCCCCTGTCAATACTCACCGAAACGGTTGTTTCGAGACTCGTTCAGCACGATTGTCAAGTGTGCACTTGTGTGCCTCCCCAGAAATCATTAGAATCATTCGGAGACGGTGTTTCAAGGCTGTGACACCAGGCGAGTTCGGACATCCATTGTGCCAGAAACGTAAATTGTGAGTGTAGGTATTGGAAAATGGCGAAGGCAGCATAATTTGTAACGCTAAGAACGAACATATCTGCTGGACGTGGAAAAACAATTACGTTCCAAACCACCCCAGTCCTCTAAGATGCATGTTGCTTGAAGAAGAGCCATCCTTACTCGCATCGCAACATCTGCAGCTGATTAAACACCTGTAACAGTGCAGGTGCTAGTTGACTGAGCTATCAGGTACAAAGTAACATGTGAAAGACGGATCCTCGACTAACACCACGTGTAACAGAGCGGCTGGTAATCAAACATGGCTAGTAATCTCGCCAAATGAACTTCGCCTCCAACAGCGAGCGGTTCGACGAAGCCATCGCTTCGGTACGACTAGCTTCGCATGTCACAAACATCGAATTGATTAATGCTGGACACTACTAAAAATCTACGTTTCTATCTTACGAACTTGGACTCCATATTTGGGTCCACATATTTGCAGCAAAAGCTCTGCTCAATCCCTATTCGTTTTCACTGCTGAATTTAACTTTCTCAGGAAATCACATGAGCTCAGATGATATTACTACAATACATAATACCACACTATCATACATTATTTGACACTGGTCGGTTCAGAAAAGAACCGCCTGGACTCGTATTTTTCGCACTTCTGAAAGCTTGGCAAAACTAGAGCGCTAATTCGACTTCTGAAGGACCAATCCCTGCTAATGCCGCTGTGGATCTCTTGCCACAGCAGCTCCTCATCTTCGCCCTGTGGAGTTAACGGAAATGTGAAACTCTCTAAGCTATTGCGTGACTGTCGCTCCTTCCCAGCTGTTGCTCTTACCGCCTTTCCTCAGTGCTGCTCGCATCGCCTTCGCCCGCGCAACCTTCTCCTCTGCCAGGCACTTCAGTTCTGCCACCTTCGCTTTAGCGACCTCCACTGCAGTCACACTCTTCCAATATTCCTCCTCTAGGCGTGCTGCTGTGGCATTTAAATCCTCGATATAAGCCTCCTCCGATACCAGGTCAACCATAGAAATATCCATGTCGGATTCTTCATGCGATAACGCTTCCCACACTTCCTCTGCATACTCCTTCGCTTCTGCTGCCAACGTTTCCGCCACCTCCGCAGCTCGGACCGCCTCCGCGCGCGTGGTGTTTGCCCGCACGAGCGCGAACTGCGCCTCCGCCGTCCCTTCCGCTTCCGCCAACCGTGCGGCTTCCCCCGCTGTGGCCGAAGCCTCATTCGCTACCTTCCGCTTTCCGGCCGCGTATGCTCCAGCTTTTTCCGCCACCTCTTCCGCGCGCTTCAGGTCCGAGGTGCTTTTCCGCTCCCGCTCCGCTGATTCCGCGACTTCCGTGGCTATGACGGCGTGATCGAACGCCAACTCTTCCGCCTGGCCGCGCAGTTTAGACGCTTCCGAGCCTATTCCGTCCGCGTCCTTCTTCTTTCCTTCGAGAACCTTTTTCGCATCTTCGTATTCCGCTAGAGCTTTGGCGGCTTCCGCGTCAGCCGCGGCGGATTCACGAACGACGGATTCTAAGGACTGACCCCCGCTGTTTTCGTGATTATCGACAGCAGTAACAATTTCTGGCGTCAAAAGAGTCTCGCGAGAACTGGCGAACTGCTGTAGAGCCGAAATGTCGCGTGAAGCAGAAGTGTGGCCAGGAGAGACGAGGAGGCCAGCACAGAGGAGGTATACGGTGAACAAGCTATTACCTACTTGAGCGCGCCGGTGGTCGCGATTGGCCATGGTGATTGAGCGCGATAGTCAGGGGAGGAAA